TCTCCAGCTGAACAGCCCCAGGGCTCTCAGCCTGTCCTGGCACAGAGATGCTCCAGCCCCTCAGCATCTCCAGAGCCTCCCCTGACTCTCTCCAGTAGCTCCTTGTCTCTCTTCAACTGGGGAGCCCACAACTGGACCCAGTTCTACCAACAGGCTGCTGCAGAGTTCTAGTCTCAGGGTGGTGGGTGGAAGCTCGATTTGTAGCCCCTGTTTTTTGGGGTTCTGTAACAGGCTGTGAGGTGACCAGAATCCTCACCCTGTCCCTTTGTTTCAGAGAGGTTTGACCACCACTGCCCCTGGGTGGGCAACTGCGTGGGGAAGCGCAACTACCGCTACTTCTACGCCTTCATCCTCTCCCTCTCCTTCCTCACAGCCTTCATCTTCGCCTGCGTCGTCACCCACCTCACCCTGCGTGAGTACCCTGGGGCAGGGCAGAGCTGGCAGCCCTGCTCCTGGCCTCGGGTGGCCTGGGGCACCCCCGGGTCCCTGTTCCTGCAGGATGGAGCATGGGAAGGGGCTGGGTGCTTTACACCGGGGCTTCTCAGCCTGGGGGAATGGGGGCTCAGGGGGCAGGGAGCTGCAGAGCCCCCCCCACACCTCTCTGCAGAGCTGCCAGCTGGGTTGTACCCTCCAGGGCTGGGGGGTGCATCTGCCCTTCACCTGCTGGGGCAGGTGACTTGTTCCTCAGCCCCACATCTCCTGGGGCTGTGTCTGCATGCTGATGTTTCTCCAGCACTACGGGCTGTGGGTGTTTCTCAGCCAGATCCTTCTCCCCTCTTGCTTTGCAGGCTCTCAGAGAGATGGATTCCTTGCCACTCTGAAGACAACACCTGCAAGATATCCTTCTGGTGCCATCAGCTGCTCAGGCTGTCTGGCACTGGTGCAGCAACACTGACTGTGCCACAGAGGTGCAAGGAGCTCTTTGTAGGGTCACCCTGATGTTCTTCCCACCACTTAATTTTGTCCCCTGGCTACCTGGTTGGGGCAGACAGGCATCTCTTCAGCTGTAGACTGACATCACCAAACTGGGAAGACTTTTAGTTCACCATCAAGGACTAAGAGTGGGTGACAAACTTGTTTCCCAGTTTATAAACTTCCCTTTTATGGAAGGGAAGTGGCTGGAGCAGGCTGAGCCTTGGTGGGTGCTGGCAGAATGGCACAGGGAACGGGCAGTCTGCTGGGATGTTTTTGTGACCCAGTGTGTGTGGGAGGCTGTAACCCTCCCAAAACAGCCCTCTGCTTCTCCTTGCAGGATGATGTTGTTCCCTGATGCTTCCTTGACTTTAGTTTCACTGTGCTGGAGCTGGTGATTTGTTTCTTCTCAGTCTGGTCTATTTTGGGCCTCTCAGGTTTTCACACTTACTTGGTAGCCTCCAACCTGACGACGAACGAAGATGTAAGTACCTGGGTGTTGTCCTTCTGCAGGGCTGGCCTTGGTCCTTCCTGGGGCTTTCAGGGGATCCTTGGCTGCCTGCCTCAGAGCAGTATCTCCGTGGGGTGTGCTGCCTGTGCTGCCTGTGATAACCCACTGCAAAGCAGATGGCCTTTAGGCTGTAATTTTGGGTAGCTGAGTGGGGGAAAGCACTAGGGACAAGCACCACGAACGGTGCTGGGCAGTGTCAGGCTCTGAGGGTCATGCTCTGCAGGGTTAGAAGGCTCACGTGGGTGTTTTTTTTCCAGTCTATATGTGACCCTGCTTAAAATAAGGAGTTCTGAGATTGAAAAAGGAAGGCTGGCCCCAGAGATTTGTTTGGGCACATGGCTGATCTTAATTCAGCATCCTGCATAACCGCCGGTTTCCTCCGAGGCCCTGGGCAAGTCCCTCTGTCTCTGTCAGTTCCTCATCTCTAGCAGGCAAATGATGTGCAGACATCTCCTGTGATTTACCTCAAGGTCTGGGCTGCCTGCAGACTCCGACGGCCACGTGAGTGCCCGGAGCAGGACAGAAAAGCAGGATCTGTCTGATCCTCGGGAGCAAAATCCACCCTTCTGGCCAGACGTACCTGTTATCCTTGCTGGAAGTTCCCAGCGCTGCAGAGGGCATGTTTGCATCCCTTTTTCTTCCCTCTCCACCTTCCTGTTAAGTTCTGAGGTGTTGGCAGAGCTGCACGAGGCTGTGGAGGAGAAGCTGATGGAGGTTGCACCCCAGCACTGGGAGCACCAGGCTGCCTCTCTGGTGGCATTGCCCACGTTGCCAGCCTCATGCTGCAACTGAGAGGAAGCTCAAACAAAACAAAAGGAGGAAATGGGCTGGTAAATGGTCCACTGCAGCCAGGGCCTGAGGCCAGGTATAGAATCTGCCCACTCCTGTGTGCCTACGCCAGCTGGGGGCTGGGTGGCAGCTGCTGGGGGTGGGGACCTGAGGTTGTTTCCTCCCGTTGCAGCAGGACCTGTGGGAATCCCCTTGTTTGTTCTGAGGAGCCCAGGAGGGACCAGAAGCTGCAGCCTTGCTCTGATGAGCTTTCAGCCTAGGAGAGAGCAATGGGAGGAGGAGGAGGAGGCTGGTGGTGATGATGGTGACAGTGACAAGTGCCTGTGCAGCACGGGGAGGGCACAGCTTGGGAGCTTCTGAGCTGCAAAGCTTGAACCTTGCAGAGGCAGGAGCAGCACGTTGCTGTCTCCTCTGGCTGCCTCTCTGCAGCTGTCTTGCTTGGGGAAGCAGAGGGAGGGGGATGTTTCTAAGACAAACCTTCCACCTCTTCACAATTAGTCCATCGTTGTCTAATTATCTGTCATCACGTCTTTCCTGCCTTAATCTGGGTGTATCCTCTCCCTTTCAGATCAAAGGGTCCTGGTCAAATAAGAGAGGCTCCGAGTTTGCCAATCCCTACAGCCATAAAAGTATCCTCACAAACTGCTGTGCGGTGCTGTGTGGACCATTCCATCCCAGGTGAGAGCCCTGGGAACTGCTTCCTGCTCTCTGGGAGGCAGGGCAGGTGTCACAGAATCCTGCTGCTTGGGAGAAACCTCTCAGGTCACGGAGCAGGACCATCCCCCAGCACTGCCAGGTCCCCACTGCCCCGTGTCCCTCACCCCACATCTCCACGGCTTGGAAACCCCTCCAGGGGTGGGGACTCCACCACTGCCCTGGGCAGCCTGGCACAGCCCTGGGCAACCCTCCAGGGCAAGAAATTGTTCCTCAGGGCCAACCTCAACCTCCCCTGGGGCAACTTGAGGCCGTTTCCTCTTGTCCTGTCCCTTGTTCCTTGGGAGCAGAGCCCGACCCCCCCCTGGCTCCAGGCTCCTGTCAGGCGCTGTGCAGAGCCAGAAGGTCGCCCCTGAGCCTCCTTTGCTCCAGGCTCAGCACCCCAAGGATCTCTCGTGGTTCAGGGGAGTCTGTGCCAGCACAAACACAGTTACTTTCACAATGATGAGGAAACAATTTCCCAGTCCCTGCAGAGAAAGGCTGGACGTGTGTAAGCAGGGGACAAAACTGTTGCTTCTCAAGTTGGAGCTTGATGAGTTCAGGTCACTTGTTTCATGGAGCTTGCAGATGAGACACATCCTGCAGCTCAGTGAGGGGAGAGTAGGAGCACCCGGGGGCTGGGCAGCAGCTGGTGGGTGCTGGGGGGCAGCAGCTGGTGGGGGCTGGGGCAGCAGTGCTCTGTAGCACGTGTTTCCTCCTGGACTCTGAGGACTGAGCATCACAACGAGCAGCCAGCAGAGATCCTGCTGCAGAGACCTTGGCTTGTACCCACACAGAGGTGACCCAAAGTGTTCAGCAGCATCCTGCCAAAGGCTCTTGTCTGCCAGTTAACCAGAGCTGATGTTACCACGGGCAGAGGTGGAAGGGAGGGAGCTTTGGGCTGAGCTGTGGGTACCTGCAGGGCAGGACTGTCACTGCTCTGGCACAAGAGGGTGCAGTTGGGCAGAGTCAGGCCCTGCTGCCTTGGAGCTCAGCCTGGCCTTGGGCGTGTGGGGATCCTTCTGTTGGGTGGATCCAGTTTGGATTCCCGTGGAGCCAACTGGGTGTCACCCAGGAGCAGAGGGTGTCTGAGGTGTGCAGCTCCTCCAGGTGTGTTTCACACTCCTCTGGCCCTGCTCTCCAAAGCACCCCTCTGCTTTCTGGCTGAAATGCCAGTGCTGCCACTTGGAGGGGGGTCACTCTGGATCCAGGGAGCTGAGCTGCACTCCAGGAGCTTGTGGGGAGAGCAGTGTTTTACTCCAGTTCCTTCCTCATTCCCCTTGTTTTCCTTTCACCAGTCCCCACTTGGGTTTGTGGTGACCCAGAGCTGCCTGGAGGCTCTTTGGTGGCTTGGGTGATAAGCCTGTGGTGTGGGTGCTGGGCAGGAAGCTGCTGCCCAGCACACTCCTGCTGATGCTCTGGTTGGCAGCTCCCACGAGGAGCTCTCTGTGGCTCTGGACTCTTCATTCACTGCCTTAACCCCTCTCCCCTTGCACCCTTCCCTTTCTCTTTTCCAGCCTGATAGACAGAAGAGGCTTTATCCAGCCAGAGGTCGGGACCCCGTCCAGCCCTAAGAGTGAGATCCCCTCCTTTGGAGCCAAACCTGACACCAGCATGGTAGGAGGCATCCCCTAGCAGTGCCTGCTGTGCCTCTCTCCAGCCAGTACCTCCCCCTCCTGCCACTCCCTGGCCTGGGGCAGGACAGCCCTGGGACACAGAGCTGCCAAGGACTCGGCCCAGCCACACGGTGCCTTTTTTAAGTTATTTATTGGGTTTTTTTTGTCTGTTTGTTTCACTGTGATGTGGCCTGTCTGGCCTTCTGACTGCCAGAGCCCAGCAGCGTGTGGGACCCTCAGGCTGGTGCAGAGAGCAGGGGGTGCTGCTGTACCTTGAGAAGCAAACAGGAGTTTGCTGGGGAGCCACCAGAGCCCTGAGCGTTTGCCCCAGGGGTTGCTGTTTTTCCTGCTGGGATTGAGATGAGCCCAGGGTGGGAGGTGGGGACTGGCAAATGGTTCCCACTCTGAGCTGGGCTGTCACACCTTGTCTTTGGGGCTGGGGAAGGCTCCTTGGTGTCCTTGGGCTCTCCATGAGCACGTCCTGCTCCCCAGTGCCAATGCAGAAGGGCTGTTTGGTCTCTTAGTGGCCAGGTTCTCACCTCAGCCCCTCCCCGAGCAGCTTCTCTGCTCCAGGAGCTGCTGTGCCTTGGTAAGTTGGGGCTGTTTGGCTGGGAGGACTCTAGTTAGATGTCCAGGTTGCTGTTGGTCCTATTTTCTGGCTGGTCACTGAGGGGGTTGCAGAAGAACTCTTCATGTTTTGGCTCCACCAGTCAGTAACCACGTTTGGCAGCAAGGACACAAGTTAGGATGACCCTCTTAACAGGGGAGGAGAAACTTCTTGGGATTTCTGTGGCTCTCATCATGAAGTGCTGGATGACAAGGCCACAGCTGTAAGATCTGAGACCAAAGGGTGACAGAAAAGCATGTGGACCCCTGAGGGTGGGACCCTTCCTGGGTGGAGGCTCCCAGGGGAGGCAGTGGGAGCACCCACTGCTCTGAGAGCCCCACGCTGTGCCCTGGTCTGGGTTTCTGGCTGGCAGATGAGAGCAGGGCTGTCCCTGGCACCTGGGGAGCCATTCCCACCTGCCTGGGCTCCTCCCTGAGCATCACTCCGTGCCCCCAGGGGCTGGGGAGGGCCAGGCTGGGTGCCAGCCCCATGTCCCTGGCACTGGGGGGTGCTCAGGGGACTCACAGAGCTCGTTGGCAATACTTGAATCGCCTGATGAAAAGCTGCTGCATATTTTTGCACAATTTGTAGGTTCTTTTTTTTCCAGTGTAGGGTGTTTTCTATTCAGCACAGGTAGTGTTGTGTGTGTTGGCACCAGGGCAGAGCTGTGCCTGCTGTCCAGCTGCCCAGTTAGGTTTCTATGGGTCCAATGTGTGTTTCAGCCTCGGGCAGCACGTTCTGGGGGCAGCCCAGGCCCTGCCAAATTCACCAGCACCGTGCTTGGCACACTGCCAGTGACCCCTCCAGCCCAGGCCCAGCTTTGGGGCACACTGGGTGACAGCAGAGGCACCAGGGTCCCTGGCCTTACACTCCTGGCTGCACAGAGGTCTGGGGGCTGGTTTGCTGTGCCCGCCAGCTCCACCTCCCCTGGGTGAGGAGCCAAGGTGAGAGCACAGTGCTGGCTGCTGGGTGTGTGCCCCTGCCACACAGGGAGGCTCCTCTGGGCACCCCTGCCCCACAGCTTTGTGCCATCTCACGGGCCAGTGGCCCACATTGCATCCAGAGAGGCCACCCTGCCCTTCCCTCCCGTGGCTGCTGCAGGGGTGTCCCCAGCAGGGCTCGACCCTGCCCTTGATGCCACCTTCTAGGGGCAGGAGTGGGGCTGGGGTGAGCTGAGCTGTGTGAGAGGGGCTGGTGCTGGGGAGTCAGGAGCAGTGGGGGTCTTACCAGGGGCCAAACTCCTTCCTGTTTTTATTTAAACTGGTTTCCTTTGTTACTCAACATAATAAAGTTTATATTTTCAAAGAGTTAAGTGCTTGGATTATTTTATTCCTTTAGGACAGAAGAGGGCAGGTGTCTTGGTTTCCACCCTCCATCAGGTGGCAGCTGGACTCTGTTCTTAGGCCCAGGCCCTGCCTCTCCTGCAGGATGGGGCCACGAGGGGTGCTCAGCAGCACTTGGTGCTGCTGGGGCTCTTGCTGGAGCACAGGGATTTATCCTGTCCCACGTCTGGGTCTCACCCAGTCCCCTTCCTGCAGAAGTCACCACCTCAGGGTCCTTTCCCCACCCACCTCGCCCAGGCCAGGGCTGTGCCAGCTGCCCCCAGTCTAACCCAGTCTGTACTGGTGGAGTTGAGGTGCATAATCTCTGGTGTCTTCCCCAGGAGGATGCGTGCCAGGACTTTGCCATTTCCTGCACAGCCTGATGGGATTTGCCCCCTCCCTGGACGTTAGCCCTGCTTTCTGAGGGCTAGCTGGTAAGAAAGTGCTTCCTTCTCCTCCCACCCACTCCATGACCCATCTCATCTCCACTGCATGCCCAGCTCTGGCCACGGAGCCCATCTCCCCCCACGTGTGCTGTGTCCCATCCATCCCAGTGGCATCTCTCCAGCGTGGGGGGTGGCAGGTCTGGGTTGTGCCCAGGCTCTGGGTTGTGCCCAGGCTCTGGGCAGAGGCTCTGTGAAGCTTCATGGCATGTTGTGGTGGTTTGTGCTCCGTGGAGCTGCCACGGGGGGATGGGAGGAAGCCCCCAACTGATGCAGAGATTTAGCATTTGGAGTGAGCTGTGGCCCCAACGGGGGAGTGGGAGCCCAGAACAGGTTTGTAACCTCAGCTCTGTGGTTCAGGTGATCCCTCCTCTCCCTCCCTCTGCCTGTTCTCCCCTCTGACACCAGGTTCCTCCTCTGACATACCCATGGCCACGGTGAGTTCTTCCAAAGCACTTTGTAATGAAACCCTGCTGTGTTTGTGGAGCTGCTGCTCTCCCTCCCTGCAGCAGTGACAGGG